TCGCAGGAAAGTGAAAGCACAGTAGATGATGATTGTGTAGGTAAGGTAACTTCGGTACCTGTTCCCACCAAGAGAAAAAAGACAACTAAGAAACCTGTCCTAGCATTAACTCCTCTTGTAGAAACCAGTTTGGCCAATAACATTCGTAAATATGATGACGACGACGATGATGATGATGATGAAGATAACTTACCTCTTGCTACTATTGCTCAACTAAAAGGTCGTAGTTTACCTAGAAGAATAGCCATGTCGAATATAATCAAGGAAAAAGTTAAAAGTGTTGCCGTCAAGAGCAGAAAGTTGACTAGTGGTGTTCAAAAGCATTTGCCTAGACAAGTCATGGATACAGGCACAGCTGATTCTGAATCCTCAGGCTTTGAAGGTTTTGTTCCTGTATCTATCAAGAAAAATAAGAGAAGAATAGGTTTGAAACACAAATCCAAAATCACAGTCCCAATGGCAGCTTCAGAAAATGAGCTTGACACAAGTAGCAACACAGAATTATCTTCTTCCCCAAAACCAAAAAGAAAATGCACTGTGTCAAAGAAAATTGAAAATAATTCCACAGAAATCCTGGTGTCCAAAAGTACAAAGGACAAAAACAAAATCTTTTATACCAAAGCAAATAATGAAGAGAAACCAAATGCCTTCAACATACAGTCTTCAAAAGCAAGTCAAAGCAGCACAAATCTAGAAGCAGAAGCACAGCAGAACAGCACAAATCTAAAAACAGATACACAGAAGACTAGGAAATATATCAGAAAGTCAACAGAAACTCTCACAGCAATGCCTGTTCTAGAACCTCTTAGTTGGCAAGAAGCAGATTCTGAGACGCCATCAACAGATACTGGAGATATTTTGAGCAGTAGTGAAGGTGATATCTCTCAGAAACAGCCAGCCAAGGTGAGGAGGAGGAGATCATCAGTTGAAAAAATCAAAGACATTCCAACTAGATCATCTGCCATACTGTTGCAAGAGACTCCAGCCCCTCTGGATTTGAAAGCTGTTGGCACAAGTGGTAATCTTAATGAACCTACAGTATTGGAGAACATACAACCTGTGTGGAAAAACAAAGTGCCAGTTCCACCAAAACCAAGGAAGAGAAGAACCAAGTCATCTCATGAATTGTTGCCGCAGAATGAATCAACTGTAAATGTTCCTCAAGAAAATGAAGTGGCTAGTAAAACAGATGTTGGAAAAGTCAAAAAGGCAAAGCGAAAGCGAGCTTCCTCCATGTCTAACATACCTGGTGTGGAAGCTGAGAACTTGAAAAATCCTCTGAGAGTGAACACAGGAGGAGGCTCTAAAAATGTCAGTGCCAAATCACCAAAGAAGAATTCTGAAGGTCAGAAAAGAAAGAAGAATACCCCAAAGGATGACATGCACGATCTGAAATGTGTAGATTGTGGCTTACGATTTGGATCTGTTGCTTCTCTGGAGGATCACCAACAGGATTGCGTAACAATAGCCTTTGAAATGAGTTTGATGGAGGCTGAGGACCACCTTTTTGAGTGCCCACATTGCCATTTAACCTTTGCACTTAAAGGCACTCAAAGAAAACACACCACCTCTTGCCGCCTTGCCAAATCTAAGAAAACACCACATCGGAATGATGTAAAGGCCATGAAAAGAATGAATAGAACTGCAGCTGCTCCTCAAGACCCACTGCTTCCTGATGCAGCAGATTCAAGTTTAGTGGCCAATCCATGCCAGGGAGCACCAGTCAAGTCCAGGAGACGAAGCAAAGAAAATGTTGCTAGTGATGAGGGAGTGAATGCAGCATCCCCACTGAAGGACAGCTTTAAACAGAACTTTGTCAACATTTCTGAGGTAGCAGACAAAAGTGATAGTGAGAAACAAGTGGAAAAAAGTAAAAAATTGACTCCTATTCCATACAGTAAGAGTAACTCTAAAGTAAGAAAAGAATTGCAAACAAATGGACAACTAGAAAACTTTGAAGGTGTAGATCTGTTTTGTTTAACAAAAATTGATGGTGTTCAGAAATGTTTAGTGTGTGGATATGAAGTTTCAGATAAAGAGTCAGTTGATAAACATCGATTATTACAACAGTTTACCCATCACTGTCAACAGAAGACTGTTATTGAAGTGTGTGCATTATTAACCAATTACAATCTTAGCATTGACACTGTGCGAACGTTGATAACCTCTGCCAGCATTCTCCATGGCTCTACAGTTTTAAATCTTGATGCCAAACAACAGTCTTATGCTGAAAATAACTCTGTTAGTACTGTTTCAGCAAATAGTTGTGCTTTGCAATTGAAAGAACTGCTAACCTCCCCACACTGCACTCGGATTCTCTCAGTACTTGACACCATAGCCAGTCACCACCGAACTAGCAGAACAGTGAGTATTAGTGGGACCAGACAAGAGGCACTAAAAGCTGTTACAGCCCTTGAAGAATTATTGAAAGAAGTCTCTGAAATTGATAATTCTATTAAAAAGAACCGTATGTTAAAGTCTATGAGAGAAACTTTTGAAGCAGGGACAATAAACTGAGTATTGGCTAAAAATAAAATTTTAAAGGTTGTGAAACAAATCTTATATATTCGTTAAATTGCATGCAATAATGATTTGTTGAATTTATAGTATGCTGAATATTATATGTATTAACAAGGGCATTTTATATAAGCAGTATAAATATTTGTAAGAAAAAAGGAAACATAATCAAATACTTGATCATATCTGTATATCACATATAAAATGTTTACATGCCAGAACTACCTGTATGCTTGGACTCTTACCCCCACAAAAAATTGTGTTAAGATGTTGGATATGAAAATAATTTAGGAATCAAAGTATTTATTGTAGACTAACAATTTGTATGAGAAAATGGTATGTATTTATGTTAATGTTAGTCTAGAATAAATTATTAAGGAGATTTGATTCTTTGAGTGAGAACATGCCACGCACATTGCACCATGTGTATAGGATAGAGAATATTGGTAGTTTAAAGGCTATTTCCTTTTTCCTATGGCAGTGTGAGTGTAGCCTCAGAGACCCACTCATGGAAATTACTTCTGTGCTTTTATATGAACACTTCATGGAATGAATGTCAGCCGGGAAATGGATGTGTTGAAAAACTCGGCATTACTCATCAAAATTTGATACGCAAAGATTATGCAGTTTTCTGTATGCCCCTAGGAATTCTCGACAGTATACTTTTTTTTTTTCTTTTTTTTCTTCTTTCTTACTTTTACTTTTCTTGTGGTTTCTCAAAACCAGGAGGTGATGTGTCCTGTTAGCAGTATTGCATTAGACATCTCTAGTGATTGGTGGCATCCTGACGATGCACATATTGAAAAAAAATGTGCACACTTGGTGTCGTTTTGGATCCAGTAATATATATATATATAATATATTTCTATCGAAACTTGCTTAGACATAGACATTTGTAGGGATATGAATTTTAGATATTGTATCTAAATGTCTCTTGATCTCAGAATAAGTCAGATTTAACATGTACAGTTTCAGTGAGGAGATTATCTATGAACTAATGTTTTAGCCTTGCTAAAACCAGTGTGCTCCAATGAGGTTCTTATATTTTCTTGCATGGATGCTGCTGTACAGAGGCACACCTCAATTATTTTTCTGCTTCTCGTGAATGAAAAGCAGCACATGCTTACAGATATTTATATATATTTTTTGTTTTGTTTTGTTTCTTCAAACTTCCTGTATTTAGGAGTAAATACCTGACAGCAGTAGATTACTCTTCTGTCACTTATAAGACTTGTGCTGTGTTGTGTGTAAGTTTGTCTTTTCATATTATTTATAAAATGCATTTTTGTACTAAACTGTAATATAAAATAAATGGAGGTGCATGACTTTCATAATTGTTTGTTTTTTGACATGGAAATAATTTTTAATTCATATTTCTTTTATAATAAAATTATACAAACTGGCTATTGAAAGTGTGGTAAAGTATGAATTGTTAACCCAATGACGCCGGGTGTACAAAACAAAACAAAAAAAAATCTACGCTGTAGCAAACAAAGGCGGCGCGCCTTTGTTTGCCCGAATCACTGGCTCGCCGTGCTTTGGCGCGCTGCCTAGACGTACGGCTGCACGCCAGCTTTCGAGCGGTTTGTTTTCACACCGATTGGCGTCACCTGGCACCAAGGGGTTAAAAGTAAAGATTGATAACCATTGCAATGATTTTAAAGATGTTTCACCCAGTCATGACAATGAGGCCAAAAAGGCTTTAAGCCTACTTTTAAGTGGCAATTTCTCATCAACAAATGCAGCCTGGGCCAAACAAGTACACAATTTACAGCAAAATTGATTGGGGATGATGTGAAGATGCCATCCCTTGCCTGTTTGGGGGGGGGGGGGGGGCTGAGGCCTAAAGTAGGGATCACCCCTACCTTGGACCTCAGCTTTTGCCTCATCTCCCCCTAATCTCTTTTCCATTGTTGTCATGGGGGTGCTTAGGAGATGGAGACTGGGGGCCATTGTAAGGGATCACCCCTATTTTAGACCACAGCCCTTGCCTCAACTAATTTTGAAGTCTTTTCTTCTCCAACTTTTCATTCCTTCTCCTCTTCAACATCCCCTTCTGTCCATTTCCTATGGTGTGAGAGCCATGCTTAACCCAGTGATGCCGGGTGTACAAAAAAAAAAAAAAAAACTCTATGCTCAAGCAAACAAAATGTACAGCCGCATGCCAGCTTTCGAGCGGTTTGTTTACACGCCGATTGGCGTTACCCGGCACCAAGGGGTTAAAGGAGGAAAGGCTGGCATTGTGTCAGCCATGAATGGCCTCCGGGAGCCATGGGCACAGTATTCCCTACTTCTTACCCATCATGGGCACCCTAAAGAACCATGATTCCAACTGATACTAATACCCCCCCCTTGATGTTTGCTGTCAACTCACCCCAACAGCCCCATATTCTGATACCCTTCTCTTCCAACAATGGCTCCAAAAACAAGTAGCCAAAGTTTCCTTTTGCAGTCATTCCAATCGTTCATACCTTGTCACAGGT